AGAACCTACATAATCCCCCTCATATGTCAAAATTCATTTTATTAACAAAAAAGACATACTCTGCTTATAAAATCATTGAAGTTAATATAAAGCAAAAGCTAAACTGACATTTACAACTATCTCTGTGGTGTAATTTGGATGATTTTTTATTGTGCAGGCTGTGCTCTAAATTCTTGTTTTCACAGTGGCTACTCACCAAATGTATTGTGTTCACCAATGTGCCAACTTACAGTTTAATCAAACTTTTCCTATTATACTATATAAGGGTTTAAATAAGACTTAAGTGACAATTTAATGTAATGTAACGTATGAAACAGAGAGTCCCAATGAATTCCCCGTCATGTTAAAACCATAATATACCTTGGACATAAACCTTGGACCATAAAAACCATAATACACCTCCTATCTAGTTTAACACTAAACATTTCTTTAAAAAATAAATACAAAAGAAGTCTGAGTGTTTACTTACTATGAACAGTATGCTAAATAATCATACATGTCATGTAATAATGCTCATATCTATAAAAGTCATTACTCTTTCTATTTCACTCTCAAGCTCTCTTGGGAGGATTAATCATTCTCATGGAACTACTTTAAACTACTTTAAAAGATATTTTGGATCTTTTTTTTTAGTTGCATTGTAAAGGGTACATGACTATAGAAGGATAGACATTAAGAGCAAGGCTGACACTTTGTGAAGACTATAATTATGTAGACATTTGAGTGAAGCTCGGCCCTTGAATGGAAGCATTTCTCCCTTTAACATATAATTGAAATTTAAGCCCCATCATCCTCTCAGCAATTTGTAGTAATAACTTTTAGAAAACACAAAGGTCAGCTTAAATAAGTATATCCCATTATATACTAAAAGTTTACCTGCAAAACTCAGTGAAAAATGAATTTAGGGAGATCAGAGGATACATTAATCAGAATCATGTAAATACCTTTAGTTACCTCTAATCATTTCTTGGCACTCAACATAAGACTAATCAAATACATTATTATAAATAACAATCGAAATAAAGGAGAAACAAAAATGAATAAAGTATTTGCTTTATACTTCTGCTCTAAAGATAACTATTTAGAATGCTCCAAATGGATGACTATTACTGAATTAATATGTATATTCATTTTCATAAACATCATGTCATATTCTCTATGTATGAAATATAACAATAGAAAGTGAGATTCTCAGAAACATGCTGGTTATTAACAAAAGTTCTTAATCTATCTTAACATAGAAATATAAATATAAATAGAATTTTCTATAAATAGAAAATTTAAATATTTTAAATGATAAATGGTATATCAAAGCAAACAGTACCCAATCTTTCAGTACAATTGTGGTTTCAAACATAGGGTTGGTGATGGCAGTGGTGGGTGTGTGTATACACCTTTGTGGTTAGGGAAGATAGATTGCCTTAAGAAATGTCATCAAAGAAGTTATCAGAGCCTATATGAGTACATATATTTAGGTCCTGAGTTGGTCTTCCATTTGTGTTTATTTTGATAACAAAAGCAGAAGGAAGACTTTATAAACAAAATCCAATTAAAATCCTTAGACACACAGGCATATGGTCACTCAGACTCTGAAGCCATGAATCTGTTAGATCTCATTAGGTTTAAGATGCCTACACATTCTTACCAATAGAGACACAAATCCAAGAAGGTGATGTATTAAAAGTCACAGTCAACGGTGTGCTGTTCATTACAAGAGGTGTCACTTGAGAATATGAGATCTAATAGGGCAAATTCATTAAAGAACACAATTATAGCAACTGTCTTCTTTCATAAAGAATGAAGAGAATTCTGTTCATGCTTGACTCTAGATCATTTGATTTATTGCTCTTTTTGTTCAGAAACACTGGTATTCTCTTCATTTGCCCAATTCTATTTATTTTAAATAGAATTAAAATACTCATTTGTTGATTATTCTTTTACTCTCTCCCTAAACTCTCCAAGTTTTTGTAAGTTTATAACCTCTATTACATGGAAATGTTCTTGTTACAGTGACTACTTCTAATAATCAAGTTTACATGGTAGAAATGTACTCCATTCTTACATAGCTATTTAACTTGAAAGCACATCAAGTTAAAAAGTTAAATGTGTAAGAAATTAAGACATTTCAACCAATATCAGAATTTCTACTTTCATGATACTTGTTTTTTATATGCAAAAATTGAGCAGAGGACAATATCGAGTAATTTATAAGCAACATTTTTAACAAAATTGCCTTGAATATGCCCTGGTACAATAATCTCCAAATATTTAAGAGGTGAACAGCGTATCATCAAAAAATACAGTAGCCCATGGATTACTACTAATTATAGTTTGAATCAGAGGGCATTATGTTTCCAGTAACTCGGGCAAATCCTCTTATGCACGTAGCATTACACCTCTTATATATACATTGGAAGCAATGAGGGAATCTGTAAGAAAAAGTGATTCAGCCTACATATCAACTATAACACACAAACCTTTGAAGCTGATACATCTGTTCATTATATTAAAAAAGAGAAATTCTCATTTGCAAAAAAAAAAAAAAACATGAAACTACTCCTCCAAAACGATGCCGTGTCCCAGTTTACTTTCAAGTATGAAGGTTGAAAGATGCTATCCATCAGAATCTCTAAATGAATTTCTCAAAGAACACCAGCCAAGTTAAAGATTTATAGAGAGGGACAGATTCATACAGTGAGATGAGCTAGAAGAGGGAGAAGACTTCTGTTTCAATATCCCTTCTACTTCTCCTCAATTTCTATTCATAGAAAACTAAATGAACAGAAAAGGGAGGGAGAGTTCAACTTCTAGTACACAGGTTCATCTATGCAGCTGGGTGTTTTGGAAGCCTATAATCAGCTGTGTGTTATTCATTCAACCAACAAGTTTTCATTAAGCACTTACTAGCTTTATGGCACTTCCCTAGGGTCTGCATAACTGACGCAAAACCCAGTTCTACTGTAGACTTTCTGATGCAGAATTAATCTATACCAGCAGCATCCTGTAATTCCTTTTTAAAACGCTTTCTTTTCTTTCTCTCCAAAGCTGATCTAAGACACAGTGCCCTTACTTAGGCAAGCATCTGAAGCCCTGGAATGAGATGAGCGTCTTAGAAAATTGTGAATTAAACACAAGCAGGAACAGCCAGGAAATTATCAATGGAGTTGAAGAAATACAAGGAAGAGATGTGAATCCTGATTTAAGGCAAGCAGTACAGAGTAATGTACTTAAAAAAAAATCAGTCTGCTTTAAATTACAGAAATTCTCCAGATCTATCCATCTCTGAAGCCAAACAAACAGGGTTTCAATATTAAGGTTCTAATTACTCAGGCACCGAAGAGTTTAAAGAGATGAGAGATAGGAAAGATTAGTAACACAAAGCAAGTCGTTGAGGAAAAAAGAAAGGGTACAGGTATCCTAAGAAAAGATCCCTGGAAGGTGAAAAACCCAAAGGTAACCACCAATAGGTTGACCCTACTTTTCAATATTCTCAAACCAGCAGGTTTCTTTAACACTAGAGGGCATGGACACAAACAAGCAAAGGAGAGGGGAAGAGGAAGAGAAAAAGGAAAGGGAGAGGGGTAGAAAAGCTGAGCAAAGGCAGATTTCACATGAAGTTGCAAATCTGAGGACCCCAGGGAAGCCAGAAATTTCAAGAGGTTGGGTTGGGCGTCTTCAGCCCTGCAAATCAAACCTGTAAGATATTCTGGTAAAAAGGGACCGATGATTTCTCCCACACAACTGCTCTCCTAAGGACTGAGCAAAGGCAGTTTAAGGCAGGCATGCCTCCTCTGTCCCCAGAGCACCTCTCTGCTGCCAGCAACACCTTGCCTTCAAAAATATCCCAGCCTTTGGAGGTTAGTTTTCCCTAAACCCAGAAGCTTCTGTTTGCCGGTCCATCGACTCTTACCCTGCGGCTGCCTGTGATGTTGGAGATAAGAGATTCTCCACCTGGAAACTGAACTATCCATAGTCAAAGAACAGAGCACGAAAGGGGCTCCCCCACGCTTTCCTTGTCCAGACCAACAGCCACAGTTCGCTGGGGTTCCTGCCAACACCCTTGGACCCTGGGTAGAGAGGGAAGCATGGAACACACTGCTCTAACCCTTAAGCCCCTCATTCGGCCTCAAAAGAGGCCAGTCAAGGGCAGACTGCCTGGATCCGATCCTCGCGTTCCCGTCGGCCCAGAGCAGAGAGATCTTTGCACCTGGAGGTGTCCTGAATAACCGAGGTGTGCGCCTCTGACCCCGCCGCCTCAGGATAGGGAAGAGGGACAGGATGAGGACAGGAGATAGAGAGAGGCAGGGAGAAGGGGAAGGGGTTGCAAGACGGAAGACTAGCCCCCCAAAATAAATAAGGGATACAGAGACATCCCACGAAAGACAAGGGGAAACAGAATGAGACAGAGAGAGGTAGCTGGGTGCAGGAGGAAACAAAGTCTCAGTGAGATGGACAGAAACTGAATCAGAAACGGAAAAGAGAATCAGAGAGGATGGGGCACTGAAAGAAACAGGAAAAGATAGGCCGAAAAAGTCAACCGTCGGGGAAGACGGCCAAGAACCAGAGTGTGCTCGGTGCTGGCGCCGAGTAGCAAAGCCCGAACCTCAACCCGGGTTGCCGTCAGCTGGTGCTACAAAGTTGCCCAGCTGGAGAGGCCGAGCTATCCCTGCCGCGGACTCCACCAGAGGGAAGACCGGGACCCAGCGCTCGGGCTCATCGGGTAGCGGGAAAAGCCGAGTAGAGGGCGGGAGGCGGCGGCGGCGGCGGCAGAAAGTTCCGCGCCTCGCCATCGTCCTGCCGCACCTGCGGCCGCGGACAAGCTCGCTCCGGGCTCCCAGGAGACAGCCCTGCGGGTCCGCTGCCCCCTGCCCTGCCCTGCCCAGGATTCAGCCCCGCGCCCTGACACTCCCTGCAGGACTTCGCGGCGCCCAGCCCAGAGGGGTACCGTCCCAGTCCATCCCGAGGAAGAAGAGGGGAGAGAGAAAGAGAGAGACGGAGACCTGCTGTCGTGGCCAAGGATCCCGCGAAGAGCAGCGCTGTCCGCGCGCGGGCTTCAGCCCCGGTGGAG